TCGTTCACGTCGCTGTCATGAGGCTCTGTTATTGTTGTTGTTGATGATGATGGGTTTATTTGAATTTCTTGTCTTGTTTCGTTAACCTAAAACATTCAAAAATCACACTTAGTTAGACAAGAACTCTATCACAAGAAAAAACGAAAAGTTTCTATAAAGAAAAACACGTTATAACGAATTACTCACTACTACTTCTTGCAACGAAGCTTCTAAAGCCTGCTGTATTTGTTCTTTTTCTTGTAACGATATTATTTCTTCTACATTCAATATTAATTCATTTGCAATTTTCGTTGAAGAACATGGTTTTGGTTGATGAGAATTTAGTAAATTAGTAGATGCTTGTTCGATATCTTGAGGATGTCGAGAGGTTGAAGGTTGTTGATCTTCATTTGATACAGTTGAAGATGATTGTGGTGCGATTGGTGAACGAGTGATATTTCTAGTTGAAGACGAACAATATTTTGAGTAACAGATTGAACACAATTATTTAACGATGGTAGAAGAGAATGTTGAATTTGAACTTGAGGTAGATTGCAGTTTGTCGCTGGCTGCAACATCGTTCTCGTCTAAAATAAACAATAAAAAATGGTATTTTAACTTCCTTCTTTCGCGTTTATTCATTTATCTTCAAAATTTAGGGTGTGTTTTCGGAATGTGAAATATGGGTATCAGAAACTATACGTACTTGTGTGGTTGTGTGTTGTCTAAATTGTGTCAGCATTCGTTTAACAAATTCATGTTTATCTTCTATTTGTTGTGATTGTTCTGATGCATAAAAACTTTTTTCACCAGTATAATTTAGATAATCCTCTTGATCATTTTGAAACTTTTTAGCTTATAAATAGAAGTGAGATTCTGAATTTTCAATTTCCAGATAAAATATTACTGAACTAAACAATGAACAATAAACAATCGAAGAAAACAGACTGTACGCCCACCAGGCGGCAAAATTGGCGTACCAGAAAAGGCACAGTTACCATTATATATTGATTATCTGTGTTGGTACATATGTTTTTGAATGTTGATGCGAAATAGCAAAGGTTTTGGAGCATAACTTGATTGAATATTTT